CAGACATGCCGATAGGGGGCTGATAAGAAGGGTTTGCTCGAGACGTTTTTACAAACTATTTCACTTATAAAGGTTAAGGTCAAATCCCACTGTTCGATCAGACAAGAGTTAGCGGTCGGTGCTGTTGACTAACTGCTTTTCCACTAGGCTCAAAACTTTAATGGACTGTAACTGGCGGTTAAAAGTAGAGGAGACGACTTTTCGGTTTTTATACTGAAGCTGGGGAAGAAGGCCTCATCAGTACAGGGGCCCAGCATGGCCAGGTGGTTAGGACGCTCGACTCACAATCTGAGGCTCGCGGGTTCGAATCCCCCTCACACCAAACATGCTCGCCCTTTCAGCCGTGGGGGCGTTATAAAGTGACGGTCAATCCCACTATTCGTCGGTAAATGAGTAGCCCAAGAGTTGGCGGTGGGCGGTGATGACTAGCTGCCTTCCCTCTAGTCTTACACTGCTAAATTAGAGCCGGCTAGCGCAGATAGCCCTCGTGTAGCTTTGCGCGAAATTCAAAACAAACAAACATCAGTACAGAAGCCGAAACGTCCTCGCCTTTTCTTTTCACAGGCAATTGCACTCCATTAAACTTCTCAAACCCACTACGTCTACTCTGTCTGAAGTTCCACTACCTTTCCACTAATCCATCAATTCAAAATTAGGGACGGTTAGCGCAGACAGCCCTCGTGTAGATTTGCGCGAAAGCAAATAGTATATACTTTGTCACCAGCACCAAAATATCTGAAATCAAGCTTCTGTATTGGTTATATTTGTTTGCTGTCTAATCTATGACGTTCTAAAAGTTTTGATTGTTTTTCACAATTCTTGGTACATAATGGAGGAATTGGCATTTTGGACAAATAAGAATAATAAAATTAAAAAAAAAACGACGTGTACTTTCCAGATAATAAAAAAAACTTTTTATTACAACGTACATTTCGCCTGGCAGCTTCAAATGGGTTTAATCCGTTTCTTTTGTCTTTTTTTTTTTAATCTGTCTCCCCAGTGTCACAGCGGTATGTCTGCGGATTTACAACGTTAGAAACTGGGTTTCGATACTTATGGTGGGCAGAACACAAAAAGCACATTGTGTAGCTTTGTGCTTAACTACAAACAAAGAAACAAACTTTTTTTTTATCTGTGCCTTGTTGGGGACTCTAACCCCGGATTTTAGAGTTGTAAGTCCGTAAACTTATCGCTGGCCGATTTAAGGAGTTACCATATCTGGTGGGTCAACTATAAGTTTATGGACTTACAACGCTACAATATGGGGTTCGATCCCCGCAGCGGACAGAGTGCAGATAGCTCATTGTGTAGCTTTGCGCTAAAAACGAAGAAAGAAAACAACAATATTAACCAGTTCTTGTAGAAGCCGTGATGATGCCGCAATAGCGAAACGTTTGTTGTTAATCATGAAGTTCAAGAATAGCTATCCGTGCTCTGTCCACTGCAGGGAGACAAACCCAGGAGTTTAGCGTTATAAGCCCTCAGACTTACTGCTGAACCACCAGATGGCGAAACGTAGGCTGCGATAGAAAAATATTTTTAGTTTTATTATTATCTGTAAAGTTCAGGTCGATTTTCATAACTTTGGATATTTTGTTTGTTTGAAGTTAAGCACAGAGCTAAACAGTGGGCTATCTCTGCTCTGCCCACCACGGGTATCGAAATCCGCAGGAATGCCGCTGTGACACTGGGAAGCCTTTTGTATAGTCGATCTGTCATATATATGGAAAAATAACTTGTCAATTTCCAACCAAATAAAGGCAGCTATTTCAAAATGGGTTAATAAGTAATTAAACAGAAATGTTTCATGACTTATGATACTTTGTGTTTACACGAGTCTTATTAAAAATGGATTTAGTATTTGTGTATGAAGTTAAAAAGTTACGAATAATTCTGAAGTACTTAATGGTTCTCAGTTTTTATAAAATTGTCTTTATTATTTCCTTACTATTTTTTTAAAGACCTTCTTCGTCATCATTCGCTTCACCATCCTCACATCTTCCTGTGAAGTCAATTTCTAGTGTTGCTGTGCGAAATTCACCAGGAGGCGCTGGTATCGGCGGAACCGGAAACAAGCACGCCACCTATACGAACAAATTAGATAAAGTGAAGCACTTTAATTCCAAAGAAAAGGCAAGAGAGAAAAGTGAGTGAATTTATTTATTTTTTTGTAAAACGAGATTTAATGTCAACAGAAACTGTGAAACCCAGAAATTATTCTAAGTTAATTAAAGACATTTATAAAAGTCACAATGGAACAGTGTCTTTATTTTGAGAACGTTACAATAAATACGTTTAAAGTAGATTGATGTATAAACATTTTTGGGGATAGACATCCGTGTGCTTATCCAGAAGTAAGAGTGGTTGATTTAACACGAACACCTAGTCCAAGCGTGGCCCAGTAGATGGCGTATCGGACTATGCATCTACGGGTCCATCATTTGCGTCCCATTACTGTAAAAACCAAAAAACAGTCGCGCCCTGCACTTTGGAGCCATAAATGCGTTATAAAAGTGACGATCAATTCCCACTATTCGGGCAGACAAGAGTGGCGGTGGGTGTTTTTGACTAACCGCCTTCCTTCTGGCATATCAGTTCAAAGTTAAGGATTATCTGAAAATAACCACTCAACGCGTATCAATATTTTATTTATAATTCAACAAGTTTTCAACACACGGATAACCCCAAGACGTACCAGGTATAGGGATGAAAGTATTGGCAGATGTTGTAAATTAAGTATATCACCTTATCTTTAGTTTTCGTAAGCCACCGATGTGTTATTAAACTATGCTTCTATCAGAAACTAAACAAAAGTCCTTACTTGTTCGCGTGTTATTTCTTACAAAGATAAACTCGGTGATATTACCTGTTTTGTTCAACAGGTGGCGTTATGCCATCATCGGATGGGTCACAACTACTTCCTGTAACGCTAGTGCCAAGTTCTGCATCTTTTGCGCCCTCTATGTCGACTCAAGAAGTTACTAACAAAACCGATGTTGCGACAAAGAGTTTAACCAAAAGGACTCCAGGTGGCCGGTACTCGAGCGGTGTTAAACAGACTGTAACAAAACCAACCCCTCGTGGAAGTGAGTAGAACTAATGGTATTGTATTGAAATAAGTATCTACGGAGCACTGAAGTGTTGAAATTCATTAAAAAAAATTCACCTTCATTCAGTTGTTATTCGGTGAAAGACTAAATCTTCTTTTAGGGTTGAGTTTGGCGATGTGTTTATCACGGTAGAGTGGGTTTCTGTATGGATCTTCTTCTGCTTAGAGTTTCGTTTGAGATGACGACGTTTCGAACTCTGGTGTGAATTTATTAGGCCTGGTAGTGTCGTCGCCATCTCAAAGAAACTCGAGGAAGGAAAAGATCCATTTTCTATCATGAGAGGCTGGAGTTTTGGGAATACTGAACAATATCCCTGATGATGATTAAGGAATCCAGATCTGGAGTTTTGGGAATACTAAACAATATCTCTGGTGATCTACCCTCACCTGGTGGTTACATGTTATGTTTATGAATTACTACCTATCTACCCTCCCCTGGTGGTTACATGTTATGTTTATAACTACTACCTATCTACCCTCCCCTGGTGGTTACATGTTATGTTTATTAAATACTAACTATCTACCCTCCCCTGGTGGTTACATGTTATGTTTATAACTACTAACTATCTACCCTCCCCTGGTGATTACATGTTATGTTTTTTTATGTTACTCAGTGCTGGGAATAATATCAGGTATCATACAGAACGTGAAGTCACATAATAATAGTTTTTAAAACACTGATAGATATATTCCATTACACGAAAACCCAACATCAAAACCTTCGTACTTAAAACCTGATTTTTACTTTTGTTTGCGACCTAAATTTGCATCGAGACATTTTTAAGTCTTCTTTTGAAGCTTGAAGTCTACCCTGACGCATTTATATACATATACATATTTGTATCTATATTTTATGCAGGGAGAGACGCTGGTGTATCCAGATTAAGCCAATCAAAAGCCGGAGACGAAACTAGATTAAACCAATCAAAAGCCAGCTCCAGTAATCTGTTTCATCGAGATGAGAGCGCGAGCAATGGTTCCCCTTCAAGACCGAAGCCGAAAGACGGAAACTGTGACAGGAGTCAGAGAGGCTATCGAACAGAAGTTTGCAAACAAGGCCAGGCATGTAAGAGTAGTCACCCGGATAACCCCGTCCGTCAGTCGAAGATTTCGACGAACCTCACTCCAAGAAATGAACGAACAATCAAGACGGAGAGTTCCGGAAGTGTGGGTGTAGATAATATGTGGAAAAACGGTATTCCTAAACCAACAGCTGCGTAAAAGGAACCTCAAAACCATCGAGAGACGACTGGTCTCACATCATCAGCGCTGCATCTTCTAACACAGCTGAAAACGGGGAGTCTGGTGGTGGTGGTGGTGGCCACCTGCAATTTGCCAGGTCAGTTACATCGCAGGAAGCTCACGCGCCAGTGAGGTTTTCCAGAGCTAGATTTTATATCCAAGAATGTGAAAACAGACCCAGACAAGTGGTCGAAAGTTCTTCATTATCCAAGTCCGAGGGGACTAAAGAAGGATCCCAGGGGACCATTACTGTTGCCAAAGTTTCCCCCATAATGAATGCCAACATTTCAAATGCTACTAAAGGGAAAACAGTTCGATCGGAAGAGAAGTTGGCAGACAGAAGACCTGAAAATTCTAGTGGGTCTCTCCCAACTGGTCAAACTGGTCGAAGAATTGGCGATTCGCAAAGGGACGTCAATCAGCTATTAAACAGTAGTTCCAAAAATACAAACCCTGATGTTCTAAAACCTGGGATCCTGGAGATTATTCCCAGTGTAGAAGGTATGACTGATATAAAAAGTACAATTTCTGATGGCAAAGATGATCCCAAAGAAATAGAAGACACCGAGGCACCATTTGGTGAAGAAGTCGATGACGTCATTGTCAATATCAAGCCCATGCAGCCTATCACACGTGTCTCCACCTATGGCTATATGAGCGGTCTGGGGTCTTTGTCTTCCACTCATAGTTTTACCAACAAGCTTCAATCTTCCGGGCTTCGTTACTTTTCAGATATTAATGGCAGTAGACGAGGGAGATTAGGCCTCTCAAAGCAGATTCTAATGTCAGAAGACTGTACTAGCTTGTATGATAATCTAACAAAGCGAACTTCTCCTACAAACAAAATGATTTCAGATGTTCGATATTCTTCCGATGCCGAATCTGTTGACCTCGCGGCAGGATACATGAGCGATGGAGATGTGCTCAGGCCAGGACTCGTTTATAGAGTAGACGACATCGCGGCGGGATACATGAGTGAGGGCGGAGCTTCCTTTTACGGCCGAAATATTTCAACCGACATGAAAGACGGCATAATGTTTTTTTCAAAAACCATCAACGTTCTTCAAGACGATAGGTAAGAATATATTGGATTCAAACTTAGAAATAGTTTAATACAAATCAGTAAATAATTGGATTTTGACCACTTATAGACAGGTCGTTTGAATTTATAGGTCATCAAAACCTGGACCAAAGAACTAACTGTTCTAGATATTGTGTGTGTGTGTGTGGTGTTGATTTGTAGTGTTTCTTAAGAGTATTTCAATAAAGGTATGTCGAAAAATTCGGTGATCCCCGATGAGGGCAGCGATAAGTCTACGGACTTACAACTCTAAACTCAGTGGATTGGTTCCTTCGATCGCATTTAATTATATTGTGTTGATTGTGTTGTTAAATCAAGATTATTTCCTAATTACTCTTTTCATGTTTGACATTAAAAAAAATGGGGCATGGCAAGAGCTGGTGATTCGGGTGCTCCACTCGCAATTTACGAGTCGCGGGATCGAAACCTGTCGATGAACATGCTCGCCCTTTCAGTCCTTGTAACGTGACGGTCAAGACCACTATTCATTGGTTAAAGAGTAGCCATAGAGTTCGCGGTGTGTTGTATTGACTATCTGCCTTTCCTCTAGTTTATCATTTCAAAATTACGGACGGACGGCGCAGACGGCCCGGCATGGCGAGGTGGTTATGGAGCTCGACTCGTAATCTGCGGGTCGCGTGTTCGAGTCCCCGTCCCACCAAACATGCTCGCCCTTTTAGCCGTGGGGGCGTTATAACGTGACGGTCAATCCCACTATTCGTTGGTAAAAGAGTAGCCCAAGCGTTGGCGGTGGGTGGAGATGACTAGCTGCCTTCCCTCTAGTCTTACACTGCTAAATTAGAGACGGCTAGCGCAGATAGCCCTCGTGTAGCTTTGCGCGAAATTCAAAAAACAAACAAACAAACAGACGGCCCATGCAGCCCCCGAGTAGCTTTGCGCACAAATTGAACAAACTAACAAACATATAACATATGTTTTCTGATTGGGGAGACGTGACACAAAATGTTGGATGAAAATTACTGATGAAAAGTAGCTATACAGAAAATGTCATGAACAAAATCTACGCCTCTTTTTTGTCAGTTTCCGAACAGTGATGTGTAACATATAAAGAGTAAACGCATTTTATACCAAAACAAAATTACCAAAACTTATAGAAAAACACTGGAATACATTCTATAAATTAGTTAACTGATATAGTTGATTACTGGTTCAATCATCGAGACATTTCGTACACGTCAATAGCTTCTAATAATTGACCTGGCACACCAAATGTAGGAAATTTTTATTTCAATTAAACGATCAACCTCGGATGTTCACGTAACATAAAATCTAAAGTACCACAACTCACCAACTACAACCAGTTTCATAACATTTTATCGAAGAGCTGTTACCGACTTAGTGAAATATTGTGATATTTAGGATTATTTGGTATAGATGTTCAATCATGTTTTTCTGATACTAGTGTAAGAAATTTTAAAAAACAATAACAAAGGAAACATTTAGTTGACCACGCGCAAGAAGCTTCTATATCTTTTTTAAAGAGTAAATTGTATAACACAAATAACTAATTAATTAGTCAATTAAATTGAGGGCTTTTATATATGTCACATGTACGTAATCAGCTTATAAACTTACAAAATCAACATATAGAACTTTAAAAAGATTTGAATTTCGATGACGAGGAACCCACTTTGAGACTAATAATGAAGAAAAACTTTAATATAAGTTTTGATTTGATATATTAGACTCATTTAATTAGAGGATAAAAAAAAATGTTTCGAGGCGCCATCTGCTCTTAAATAAATTTATTTTACAAATTTACAATTTTTTTTTACAAACTTAAAATGTTGTAAAGGGGCCATCTGCTGTTAAATAAATTTATTTTATTATTTCTTTTTCAGACTCCAGTCTACCACAATAAAATTTATTTTCTAATAGTAGTAATTATAAATAATTTCATTTCAGAAAAATAATTGATATTTGGCAATTCATCTAAATTCAAAACTAGAGATTATGATTAAAAATTAATAGCTTATTATTTTATCCGTAGTTTAAATGTAGAGGGATAAAAAGCAATTTCATAACGAATTATTAGGTGTTGATTACTTACTGTAATATTTATTGTGAGTGGAAGATAACGAAATACCATAACGAGTGTGAAAACATATTTACAGAAAATTATTAAATTTAATTAAGTTGTAAGACCACGGGAAACATCAAGGTAAATCATTTGCCTAATAAATTTTATTGATATTTAAATACAATCTACTCATTATAGGTTGTTAGTTACGTGGTTTAGTTATTCATTAAAACAAGCATTTCTGGTCCGTTTATTTTAGTGGATTTTCGTTATTCGTTAATGTATATGTTGTTTTAATTTAATTATTTTAATATGAATTATTTTAATTTAATTATTTTAACATGAATTATTTTAATTTAATTATTTTAATATGAATTATTTTAATTTAATTATTTTAATATGAATTATTTTAATTTAATTATTTTAATATAATTATTTTAATATGAATTATTTTAATTTAATTATTTTAATATGAATTATTTTAATGTAATTATTTTAGTATGAATTATTTTAATATGAATCTATGGTTATACTTTTGTTCAGAATTTGTTAATTATTTGTTCTTAAACTTTCCCACGAGAATAGCTACGGTGAAAAGTGTTTGTGTATCAAATTAAGTTTATATTATCATGTGTTTGTAACATGAACAAATAAGCAACAGGAGCAGGTATTATATTATTTGAGCAGTAAACGCCCCCCAGTGGCACAGCGGTATGTCTGCGGACTTACAACGCTAAAATCCGGGTTTCGATACCCGTAATGGGCAGAGCACATATAACCCTTTGTGTAGATTTGTGCTTAACTTTAAAAAAAAAAATTAGAGCAGTAAATGCAAATATAAAGAGAATGTTTCGTTCTTTCTATTTGACTTAAAGTACAAGGCAATAGATGGCACCACGAGCGCTTATAATAATTTTTTTTTGTACGTCATATTCAAAGGTAATAATTACCGTAACAAAACAAATACCACAAAAAATGTATACAATATTTTCGTAATGGATTTATTAAGCAAAATGTATGTTTCCATTTTTTTCCAAAATAATATATAACTTGAATTGCATACCAGATAAATTTATTGGGGTGTTAATGAACATAATATTTTGAGTCACGTAATATCCCGATTTTTTATACAAGATCCTGACGAAACTAATCCATTGCTTGTTGTTGGTGATGAGTTACTGTGCATCATTTCCTGTGTACATGACTGTATCAAAGCTAACAGGTCTTAGTGTTGCCGTACTGTGTCATATTGTTCCCCAAGTAGTTCTAACACTTAAGTTTGCGTGATTCCTCTCGTCGTTGTCATGGTGACAAGAACTCTCCAGAATATGGAAACTGAAGCGATTCATTTTATAAAATACAGTAAAATTAGACTGTACGTTTATATAGTTCAATAGGTACAAACCGTGAATATATCAGATCATGACTATACGTTTATATAGTTCAATAGGTACAAACCGTGAATATATCAGATCATGACTGTACGTTTATATAGTTCAATAGGTACAAACCGTGAATATATATCAGATCATGACTATACGTTTATATAGTTCAATAGGTGCTAACCGTGAATATATCAGATCATGACTGTACATTTATATAGATCAATAGGTGCAAACCGTGAATATATATCAGATCATGACTATACGTTTATATAGTTCAATAGGTACAAACCGTGAATATAGCAGATCATGACTGTGCGTTTATATAGTTCAGTAGATACAAACCGTGAATATATCAGATCATGACTGTGCGTTTATATAGTTTAATAGGTGCAAACCGTGAATATATCAGATCATGACTGTACGTTTATATAGTTTAATAGGTGCAAACCGTGAATATATCAGATCATGACTGTA